AGAACAGTGGGTAGCGACCCAGTTCCATTAGACTACCGACATTTGTGGCTTTACAGCCAACTTTCAGAAGAAATTTACAGAATTTCAGGTGGAGTTGTTCTGCTGGTGTTGTGCAGTTTGATAGGTTTGACAATTGTTTGATGTTATCACATGACCAAACCTCAGAGCAGTAAAGTACCTCAGTACTTGTAAAGCAAAATTGGTTTGACAACTGCATCAAACATCTTTAGATATATTTTTACCGGGATATTTGTTTCTGAATATAATTGCTGTTTTAGACTGAATAGAGCTTTCATTGCTCTGTTTTTTAAGTCAATTTGGGCTTTATGAAGTTTTCCTGTGGAATTAATTTTAATACCCAGATATGTGTAAGAAGAAACTTTTTCAAGTCCTTTTTTATTTACATAAAATTTAAACTTGTTTAGACTTTTCCCTGATTTATTGAAAATGATAGTTTTTGATTTTGAGATGTTTATCTCTAGTTGCCATTTTTTGCAATAAATCTCAAGTGCGTTTAATGCATTTTATGATCCAGTGTGTGACTTTGACAGCAAAAGAAGATCATCTGCGTATAAAATACATGACAACTGACTGTGTCTTTTGATGTTGTTTATGTATATATTGAATAGCAAAGGACTTAATCCATCACCTTGTCTAATACCTTTCTGGATTGGAAATTGCTTAGTTCGGCCTTCATTTACTTTTACACATCCTGTGGGATTTAAATACATTGATCTAATGATTTTGTAGAATTTTCCAGTAATGCCATTTTGAACAAGTTTAAACATAAGACCCTCATGCCATATGGAGTCGAAAGCTTTCTTTAGGTCAACGAAAATATATTTTCCTTTGCATAAATATTTTGTAAGTAGCTGGTTAAGAACAAAAATATGGTCACTTGTACTAAATTTTCCTTGTCAATGCGATCAAGGAGTTTCTGTTTTAGAACAAGTGTAAATAATTTACTCATGGTATTTATAAGGGTTATGCCTCTGTAATTGTTGGGGTCTGTTTTATCTACTTTTTTATGGATTGGGGTTATTATTCCCATATTCCAACAGCTAGGAAAATGGCCACTTTCCAATATTAGGTGAAACAGTGTTTGAATTTCATTTATCAGCATGTTTCTACTTGTATGTTTCTTCGTCGTCGTCGGTGGCGTATCTTTCCTCGCGAAGCGAAACTGCTAATCCCATCAAATACAAACGGGAATGAACACTAATTGCCAAGAGTTTTTAAAATATAAGCTTAAAAGAATCATCTATTTTCTAGCTCAGACCCTATTTTATGAGATTAGTGCCACAATTTTATATTTCATAGCTATTCTCAAAGTATTGTGTATACCATTATTTTATTGTGTTTACAATATTTTATCATTATTGTTTCATCGTGATTTTATCACCATGGTTTCATTATTTTATTGTGTTTACGTTAATCACAGGGAAAACACAAAGACTTCAATGCGTGTTTAAACGCATAACATCGATGCCGTGGGCCAATCCATTTGACCAAACTGTTGTTAAAAAAAAAGAATTCATACTGATTAACAGTTAACTGATATGCAAATTTACTGATTGGTATGCACAAATTGGTATCAGATTCATCTGTAGCATGGAGGTAAAATGAATTGTATTACCTCCATGTCTATACAAACCACAAGCCCTTACAAAGTACTTTAAATGCATTTGATTAAACCGCTGCAAATTACGGGTACATATATATAATGATATACACTATGCATCAGATAAACAAGATTTCATAATATATGTTGTTGATACTAATTTATTTTATTCTTACAAGAACATTGAGAAATTCGAAACCATTATAAATAGCGCATGCAAACAAGTGGTTCAAATTAAAATAGAAATCCTGTAAATGTGAAAAAAAAACTAATTATATGTTAAGATGAACTGCTAAAACGCCCGGCCTGAGGCCGCTTTGAACCTCAGACTAGTAATACAATGTATTACTCGTCTGAGTTTGAACATATCAGATATATCACTGAATTCTGTCCCATTGTATTGAGTGAACATCTCCCTCTTTCCTGATATTCTTATTAGACAAAAACATATATTTTTTTCATTATACTGCTCATTTATCATATTTAAATTATAGGGTTCTTTCTGGGAGTACTGTTGGTAATTTACTTTTCAACTAATCATACCATGTTCAGAAAAAAGTTGTTCGTATTACACATGTATTAGAAGTCGTAAAGTACATACTTACTCTTAACAAAATATATAAAGTGTTGAATATAATTATGACATGTACAAGCTG